AGTGAGTGAGTGAGTGAGTGAGTGAGTGAGTGAGTGAGTGAGTGAGTGAGTGAGTGAGTGAGTGAGTGAGTTAAAGGATGAGCAAGTGAGTGAGTTCCACTAAAAATGAGAAAAGGTATCGGTTTAGTGCCCCTATCAACACTAGGCCACCGACGACACAGATGATAAAATTAACTGGTTACGTGTAACCTTCACGGATATGTATGGCCTGGCTAGGTCCCTGACTGGATGCAAACCCACGACCTCAAGTTTGCGAGGCCGAGATCTTAATAACCACAAGACCACCGACGCCACAAAAGATAAGGTCGCTTTTAAGCACAAAGGGGCTATCCCGAAAAATGTTGTTTTGAGAAAATCGAAGGTGAAATTCTGGACCCTTGTTCAATTTCCTTAAAAGACAAGTAAGGAGAATTTTCCTTATTACCAAACAAATATACACACTGATGAAACCAAACTTCTCCTATAGGTTGGGCAATGTCCACTTTTGGTGTAGGTCAAGATTTCTGGAAACCCCCGAAATCTTGGTTAGCCCTCTTGTCCTTATGAGCGACCATAGGATTAACTGGTTACGTGTAACCTCCACAGATATGTATGGCCTGGCTAGTCCGGCAAAGGAGGTTAGTCCTCCACCAAGCCTGGGCCAAGACGGCGCGAAGACCACCACCACCTCGATCACCGTCTCGACCACCACCTCGATCACCACCACCACCTCGCCCATCACTAGCGCCAGAGACGACCGGGGTAGCGGTGAGCCCAGGAGCGAAGCGGGAGGCGATGGCGAAGACGAGGAGGATGAGGAGGACGAGAAGGGCATGCCTAATGGTACACTCCTAGACCTAGCTAGAAGTTGGCTTGTCATCATCATCATCATCATCATCATCATCATCATCATCATCATCATCATCATCAGCTTTTATCAGTTTGTGTCGGAATATTTTTTTCCTTTCTTTCTTCCTTTTTTCTTTCTTCCTTTCTTTCTTCCTTCCTTTGTTTGTTTGTTTGTTTGTTTGTTTGTTTGTTTGTTTGTTTGTTTGTTTGTTTGTTTGTTTGTTTGTTTCTATTTCTCTAAGCATTGCCCGTCCACTGCAGAATGTAGCCTTCCAGCAAAGACCTCCAGTCTGTTTTATCAGCTATTTTCCGTGTTCAGGTTGTCTACTCTCTTCTTATGCTATCTTGCCACATTCTTTATGGTCTTAATGAATTTTGATTTTCTCCAATACAAAATTGCCCCGATTGTGTTGATGTGAAGACGAGAAATGGAGACCTTGTAGTAGTCTGCTCCTGTCCTCTTTTTCATTGTTATTATTGTTTAAATCTTATTTGGATGAAATAATGTGTAATTATAATTTTGTGGACTCGCCAAAAACTACAATTCAACAATTACACAATATTCGTGAGTGCCTTATTCCCTCTGATGTTGCCCCTCCCTTCCATCCACCCCTCTCCCCAACCCCCTCTATCCACCCCTCTCCTCCCATCCCCACCATCCACCACTCTCCCCTCAATCCCTCCATTCACCACCCCCCCTTCCTCCACGCAAAGCCGTCCGTATGCCCGAACCCTCAAAGATTTGCAGAACATCCATCCAGGAACAAGTTAAAGAGCGCCACACTCGGGCAATGGAGGACATAGCTCGCAGCCAGGAGCCCGGGGAGATTTTGGCCCACTTGCTGACCAGCGGCTACTTCAACGTGTGCTACTGGGACCACGCCCGGACCACCGTGGACAATCTGAATATGAAGAACGGTAGGAAGAAAGGAGTGGAGAGACTCTATTCACTACTGTGCAAGCGTATCCCCAACATGATTGAACTACCGTAACTACAGCACAGTGTACCGCCTTTTGCATAGGAAGAAATAAACAATAGAACTTTGAACCCTACAATTGTATAGTGTCTGCTTTGGACCATATTTATTATCGAACATTAAATCCCAAAATTATGGGAGTTTGAGTTTCCTAACGTGCGTCTTTTAGAGAATATATAATCTGCAGAGCTATGAGCCCTTTGAAATTAGCCTATTTAGGAGTACATTCAAAAGGGCTTTGAACCCCCCCCCCTCCTACCAGAGCAAAAAACAAACAAACAACCAAACAAACAAAACAGTTTCTGCTTCCAAATTAATCACCTGAATTTTGAACCATGCCCAGTATCTTACGGTACACCAACAGAACTTGTATGAGCTGGTTATGCCAGGAGATCGAGCCCCATCCAGCTTGTCAGAATAAATCTACTGAACGCTGAATCGTCTCCATTAAAAAAAGTATATCCACAGAAAACAAAGAATACCAGATTAATTCAATTATAATAATTATGTTATTGATATTAACTGCACGTACCCTTTGACCTAAAAGTCCCCTCAACAAACCATGGGCAGCTGTTGATATAAACGCTAAAAAAACATATTTTGTTTCGTTTCATGGTATTCGTTTTTTCTTCGCTAAACAGTTCTCTCTTTGGCTTTTCGAAGACAAACACTAATAATATTATGACTCCTAGAAAACGTTGGCGACGGCTCAGTTATACATATTATGTCGCCTTTGGTATTTTTGAGGACGTCTTTCACTATCATAAACTAACAATTGAATCCTCTTGTAATAATGTCAATCTTTGAAGTGGTAGATTACCACAGAAACACTAAGGACAACATCAATTAAATCTAATTAACAACAATTGGAATTGTTTTTGTGGCTGTCATCCGTACGTCGTGATTTACTATCGTATCCATGCGACGTGGGGAACTCTGTGACACCACTTTCCAAAGAGGAAATTTACTCGTTAATCTGATCCGTACGCTTTGTATAGCAGTCTGTCAAAATGTTGTGTGTGTGTGCGTGTG